GGAGATACTGGTAGAGCTAATTAACTTAACGAACAAGCTGCCAGAAGAGGCTAAGAATAGTATAGAGAAATTTCTTGTGCATTTAAATAATAGTGATAAACAACCTATTCTGTATTCAGTTATAGATACGAAAAGCAACTTAGTTTCGATAAATCTCATTAACTAGATCGGGTTGATACAAAATAATGTGTTCATGCAGTCGCTTTTATGTTGGAGAGACTTGTGGTCCCATTCGACAAAGGGTGGCTGAGCAGAAAAGCGCCTGCAAAGGCTGTTGGTTGCAAAAATTTAAGTCACGAAAAATAAGCTCTGGTGGCGAAGGAGTGGATGTGAACCGGCAAAGAATTATAATTGTTTAAAGACCTGACTGCTGATACGGTATCAAATGATCTTATTGATTAGAGATGTTTGAGAGCATTGAAATCAATCCCAATTTTGCAGCAAAATAAATAAGTAATAAATAAGGAAATTTTTAATAAAAGGTAGATTTATTCATGAATGCGGATTAAAGTAGTAATAATGATAAAAAACTGTGCGCAAATATAATAAAAAAAGTCAGAAAATTAAATTAACGAAAAATTAATTTACTGCAAAATAAACTTTTTTATATTAATTGCTATATATACATGTCATTAATATACAGATATAATGCAGAAATAAAAGAGAAATTATTAAAATCTAAGTTAAACTGAGATAATAACTCAAATAAAAAAGAATAAAAAATTAATAAGGATAAAAACTAAACGCATTATAAAAATAATTTAGTAAACTGTGATTTACTAATAAAACTTAAGAATTTTTAAAAAATCATATATGAGGAAATTAATAATTTATTTACTTAGCCTGAAAAATATACTTGAAATAAAGCTTTATTATTTATGATAGAATAAAATTTACCGTTATAAGTGACAAGACAATATGGGTCGCTTTTACTAAATTTATCAACATTTGGTAAATTGCTTGCTCCTTTAATTAAAATAGCTAACGTCGCCATCTCACGATTTTATGAAACTTATTGTAGCATTCAAAAGTGCGCAAGTCACTTGTATTAAAATAAATTGAAAGATACAAACAAATTTGTTATTAAATAAACTGAAGTATAAATATGTATTTAAAAAATATTTTATATTTTTTAATAAGTTTAAAATTACTATTGTTAATGTTTTGTAAAGGTAAATAATGGAAATGTTCTAGCTTAAGCTATCACATATAATGATATTCAAATTTTGAATAGCTAGATCTTGTGATTGGTTAATAAAATTGATTGTTGATGCACTAACTATAAATAAAACTTCTGTATAAAGTCTTTGAATAGCTATTTTATTTTTAATGCTTGTTCAGAAGTTTATATTATGTGAGAAATATGCTCTGGTGCATTTAGGATCGTGCAGTTTGGGGAGATATTTATAAATGCAATGTATCAAAATTAATTTATTAACAAGAAACTAGCCTGATTAAGTTGCTATAAAACTTGTCGATATTAAGAGGCTTATTTATATGATTTTTGATTTAAGTATTTTACAATTTATTTCAAATGTGTGGACATCAAGAGTAAGTTGTTCACTAATTATAGACAAATGACAAATAGCTAATTTCGCATAGAATTAAAGCTACAAACAAAATAACAATATAGGATTGTTAACAGTTTATATGATCACATTTTAAAATAAATGATATAAGAATTTATTTCGGAAATAAATATCACAATCTTAATTACGCAGGCTTAAGCAAACAGATATATGAAACCATTTCTAGTGTGTAATTAAAACTTACTATCATTTAGTGTTCTTCTGAAACTATGTTGGATTAATCGGATTCTTAGCTTTCACTTATAGGCATGATAAATATATTATACTTAAACAAATTTTGATTAGTGGACAATTGTAACCAAATATAATTTTTTGCATACCGAGTGACAGTTCTGCGTATATTTAGATGGTTTCTATTTTTGCTAAATGCCATAAGGATTTTTAAAAATAACTTATAACTTTTGGTAATTTTTTGGTATTAAAACCAAAATTCAGTCAAAAAACATTACTAATCAAATTTTGAAAATAATGTTTTAATAGCTATTTATGTCAATATATTTTTATTCATTTATTAATTGCAAGCTTTTTTATAATATTTTGTTTAGTAAAGCTGATATTTCGCTTATTCTCCCGTGCTCCATTTGGTATGTCTACATTTGCCTCGCTTAAGGTACTAAATTTCTTTCCTTACCCATAAGGGGTTGTCTACCCTAATCAGTGGGGGGGGAGCTGGTCTAGGTCTTGCCACTGCTAGAAGACTTGTAAATCATGGCTGCAATGTTGTTGTTTGTGACATTAATAAATCGAAATCATTCCAAGATATTGAGGATAAATGCATATTTGTCAAGACAGATGTAAGTCTTCTTCACGTATAAATATTGCCACAAAAGATTACCTCTGAATCTGACATTAAGAAAGCCCTGGAAATTGTTGAATCCAAATTTTCACACCTGAATGTGCTCGTAAACTGTGCGGGCATTGCCTATGGACGCAAGATCTTCTCAGACCAGTCTGGAAAGCTTCATTCATTAGAAGAATTTAAAAAAGTTATTGATGTAAGCCTTTTTGAATTCATTTACTCCATTTATTTCCGGCGATTATTTTGAAATGCACCCTTACTCTTACACGTACTATAAACACGGTGACAAATATTTTAGTGCTCCTAAAAACTTGTATGTCTTTTTAAATCATTTGCTTCTTTAATTCGATTTACAAACGAAAGCTTTTTTGGTTAATATACGAGTTTTATACATATGCAAAAATTCGATTTAATTTCCAAACGTCTTGGTAGTCATAGTGGATAACGGAATCTCTTCAGCTTGACATCAGTGTAATTAATTTTGTTGGTCTGGCATCCTTTTTCAATTTGCTTGATAAGATATAGACTTTATAAAACCTACCCACTCTCACGTCAACTGCCATAGCAGTCAGGCTAATTTCCTTTATCAGGCCTTTTATTTTGTACGTTCATTAATGTTTCTTCGGTATTGACAGTAAGATGCATCATTCTTAGCACCTATGTACAACTCATTAGTGATACGATCCTGCCATAATTATGATCAAATATTGTGGAGTCCCCTGCTCCTTTCTCAATCCGCTGCGTATGGTCGGTGATGCTTGTGCGAATGTAACAAGTCATTGGTCCGGCGGTGGAACTTTACTTATTACTTGTAGATTTGAACACAAGGTGTAGCCTATTTTGTTTGCGGTCTCCTTTCGTTGTGTACGAGTCATCTGATCTCGTTTCGGCAATTTAGTCGTGCTGCCAGAGCGACTTTGGCGAACCTTGTTCAAAGTCATATGCTATAGAGATTATGTCAATTCCTAGCGTTGGACCTTGGAGTTGGTACATTACCAGTCGTTTCGCTGGCATCATTGATGAGTCTTGCTATTCTTAGCATCAAGCTACAACTTTAAAAATAAATTAAATCATTCCTTTAACTTGTGAAAACGAGGTAAAACCAACATAGTTAACATAGACTGCTAGTATATCTAAGGCCACGTCATCTTAGTATTCTTATTTACATGTAGACTACCTTGAAACTCCACTTGATGCATGATTTAGTCACATCTTACTAGTCTTAATTTATCCCTTACCTGAGTCCATACTTTCATTATATCTTGATTTAATTATAAAATCAATTGTGATTAACTGCCTATTCAATAATTGAACAAACTTTGCCTATGAGCTGAACTTATTCTTTTGCAGATTAATGTCACTGGTACTTTCAATATGACTCGTATGGCCATCGCTTTGATGATGAAGGCTCAAGCAAATGCAGATGGACAGCGTGGCGTGATCATCAATACCTCTAGTGTTGCAGCGTTCGAGGGTCAGACCGGCCAAGTGGCTTATTCAGCAAGTAAAGGTGCTATAGTTTCAATGACTCTTCCGATTGCACGGGATCTAGCGCGAGTTGGAATCCGCGCGATGACCATCGCACCAGGTAAATCTAAATGAAATCGAATTGCCTCTAGTTTTTATCTTTATTCTTGCTCTTATGTGTATATATGTAATTATCCATTCAACACAAATATAATGCTCAAATATATATATATATATTTATTTATTTATTTAATTTTTTTCTTTTGAACGGTCTATCTTAAGTGTTTAATCTTTTACATAATTGTGAGCTTACCGCGTAATTTAATTAGCTATATATATAGGAATTTATATTATTTCTCAATTTATACTTGATCAATGAATAAGTCCATAGAGATATTCAAGTTAGGTGAACATTCGAGGGTATTTAACTCAATTTATCGAATTTTATTTATCTTAATCGAAGGTATGAAGACCAAG